GGACTCATCATTGAGTAAACTTTGACCCTGTACCTCACAGTCAGCAGACACATTCCAGCCAATCAGCAGCAGACCCTCCCTCCCAGACCCACCCACCTCCTGGACAGCATCCATTGTGAAGCTGCATTCTTAGTGAGCTGTCCAGGAGGTGGGAGGGTCTGGGAGGGAGGGTCTGCTGCTGATTGGCTGGAATATGTCTGCTGACTGTGAGGTACAGGGTCAAAGTTTACTCAATGATGAGTCCGTGGTGAACCGTTCGTGGCGAACAATTCGCGAACCAGTTCGGGACATCACTAGTTATTAACTGTTACAGCTTAATTGAGTGTTTATGGTGTATTAAAGAACCTGCGTATGCAGTGCTATAGTTCTTTGTCAAATTGTTTTGAAATGACTTGACAAAACCTGGGACTACTCCCAGCCCCCAGAGACCCCCTCCTCAGTCCCATTGACTTTGTTGCATTTACATTTCTGAGTGCAGTGATAGGCTGAGAGTGATGGGCAGGATTCTTTGAGTTAATGCGAATGAGGCCTGAAAATGAAATGCTATCAAATAAAATGTAATAAAACACATAGTAACATATAAACATTCTGTCCTGCTTGCAGATACAGCTGAGATAGGCATCTATCAGTGTTTGCTCTGCAAATTACATTTAAGACAGTAATCTGTCAGTTACTACGTGTAAGAAATCTATGCTGTGGGTTTTTTCGTTGAGGCTTTGCTCGGAGATAATACCACAAAGCTATTTCATTCACAGAGAGAAATGTAAGTGGCGTGCGATAGTATGCCACTGACCACGAATAAGCATCACTTGCACTATTTATAACCACAGATGAAGCCGCTACCCAGGCCTATTGGTGGGGCACCCAATGCAATGGATTGGTTACAGATTGTAACAAGCAGAAGGAAATCGCTTTGTAAAGTCCGGTGTAGATTAAACAGCTTTATCTTTGTGGTAAAGAAGAAGAAACAGTTGCAGATTCCATACTATAATTATACTGTAATTATCTCTGACGATTTTTAACTCTTTCATTACCAAGTCATTACAGGGTATTGTCTAACAATCTTGCTGTGTTTTACGATGATTATTTTTTTTAAATAGAGGGATATTCCAAACACCAGACCAGTAGAGCTGATGGTAGTGGTTATGGCGCAACAACTCTATAGGTGATGTCACATCAATATTAGGGGCTTCTTTACTGTGGAGCCGAAATTTACATTGAACCCAATTATAGAATCTGAATTTGAGTTCCTGGTCTCTTGTGGTTGGGAGAGCATCAACCTGACTGCATTGGTAATATGGAGCTCCTAGAAAAGTGGAATATTAGGATCAGGCCCGTTGCGACAAGGCAAGCAAACCAAGCAATTGCTTGGGGCCCCGAGCTGGCCTGGGGCCCCAAGACAACGACTGGTTTAGAACATAGCCTATCACTGTACAGACACAGGCGGCTGTGTGTGCATGTAGAAAGCAGGGGGAGCTAGGACACAGCCCGGCAGCCAGCTCCAGCACACACAGTGTTACCGTGTTGGCGAGCTCCCTCTCCCCACCAGGCACGGTGGGCTGAGCCGCGGGAGTCCACTAGCACCCCCCACAGTACAGAGCGGCAGGGTGCAGCCTGGCTGGGACTCGTGCTGCCCCCGGCCCCGAGCAGAGAGGGAGACAGGGATCCTTCAGAGCTCGAGCAGCACCATCCACAGCTCCTCCTCCCGCCACCATCACCAACTCTGGAACAGGGCAGCTCGCCACACTGCAGGCACTCACACCGCGCCAGCCGGCCGGACACACAGTTAACCGGGGGGACATCCACGGGGACATCCCGCAGCCGGGCCAGGCAGCTCCAGTAACCATGGAGGAAATGTCCGGCTCTAGCTGCGGTTTAGGGATCCAGGCATGAGAGCCCCTCCAAGCCCCATCCTCTGCCCTCATCCTCTGCCCTCATCCTCTGGCAGGCTCCACCATGGACCATCCTATGGCAGGATCCTCCATGGACCAGCGGCAGGAGCGCACATGGCATGGGATGGGAGGGGGGAAGGAGTCACAGCAACATGTAGTACAACATGGGGAAGGGGGGCATATATCCCTTCCTGTGTGCCAGACAGGGAGATTTTAGGATGTGAGTGTGGTATGAGTGGGGAGTTGATGGTAAGGGGGCAGCACTGCCCTACACTGATAGTTTGCACTACCACTCCTAGTATGCTCTCTGCAGCTGGGGGAGAAGGGGGTTAGCTTCTTCCCTCTATGCCTATAGTATTATATTTTAAATATTACACATAGTTAGGTTTGGTCCTGCAGCATGCTACTCATCCATCCTCCCCAGTAGTGTGGGCACCATGAGAGCTGTAGTCCAGATGACTCTTTGTTGTATGCCTGCTGGGTTTTATTTCTTGGTGCAGAAGTAATCATTTTGTTGAATGAGATTAGATGCTTTCCTCCCAAGGTCACAGATAGATAACTCCAGGTTTTTTAGACACCATTGTCTTGCTGTGTGTTGCAAGCAATGTAGTTACCGTGTGGGTGAACTTAAACTGTATGGCTATGCTGTGGTTCCTGTAGGCTTTGCGTGCATTGCACATAGAACCTATGACCCATAAGAACAATTTTCTGGGCAGACAGGGACATTTATACCCCAGTGAATTTCTTGCTTCGGCTTGCTTGTTAAATTGGTTTTAAATGCTTGAAATGCTCAGATAAGAACCATTCGGCCCATCTAGTCTGCCCAATTTTCTAAATACTTTCATTAGTCCCTGGCCTTATCTTATAGTTAGGATAGCCTTATGCCTATCCCACTCATGCTTAAACTCCCTCACTGTGTTAACCTTTACCACTTCAGCTGGAAGGCTATTCCATGCATCCACTACCCTTTCAGTAAAGTAATACTTCCTGATATTATTATAATTTTTTTAATTCTTTATTTTTAATGTACAAGCGATAACAAACAGGCTTGGTACACCACAATAGCTATACCATGCATGAGAAAACATTCAACAGAGGTTATTTACGTGGTTTACATATAATCTGCACATTTTATGTTTAACGTTTGTCAAGAAGGTGGGTATCTGAAGGTGGCCTGTATTTCCAAACAATTGGGATTAAGAGCTCTTGTGTTAAGATGGAAGCATGCTCTATACCTATGTGTGTGTTCTCTATGCCCCTATTGCGTACAGTAGTGTAATGAATACCATGTGGGTTGTGCCTGAGGCGAGTATAGGTAGAGTTCAAACTCTCTGCAGGGAGCAAAATAAAAGAGGAGCTAATAAGTCATTACGTTATTAGTAGGTCTGGACGGTATGTGAGCAAGTTAGCGTTTAGCTTTGGGGGTGAGCAAGTTGGGCTCTCTGTGGCCCGTTCTGTGTATGGCTGTTGGTGCCAGTACCTGTGTTGCTGCGGTACTGCAGGTGTAGTGAGAGAGCGAGCCGGATACTGCTCTTGGCTGAGGGGGAGCAAGTGTGGGTATCGAGGTAAACTTATGTATGCGTATTGGGGTTCTCTCTAACTAAGAACTATCTGCACATAAGAACCTGTACTCAGTGTACAATGGTGAGCTTAGTGTTCTTGTGCCAGGATTGTTAGGGCTAGTCCTTGGGTCAGGAGGGCCACAGGTATGTGGTGGTGGCCTCTTCTTGCCCCCAGAGCTCCATCAGGTCGTGAATGCTGCATAGTTTTCTGCCACAAATCGTTGGGGACAAATGGGATAGCTGTTGCCGGGTCCCCTAAACCGGGTGGTTCCTGATATTATTTTTAAACCTTTACTCCTCTAATTTAAGAGTATGTCCTCTTGTTGTGGTAGTTTTATAGAAGTAGTATTATTTATTTTTGAATGAATGCCATTGTGTCAGAAAAGTGTTTTGTTTCACTTTACTTTTTTCCCTCTGCTATAAATATGGCCTTCTTTTCTGAAATTGACTTTTCCATGAAAAATGGCAGGATTTAGCAGAGAATTTTTTTTTTTTTTTTAGACCATTTGTAGAACAATTTCATGAATATGAACAGATTATAGAATAAAAAAAATGACTTTTTTCAGATCACTTTGATCCCCCAGTGTAATTTTTAACAGACCGTACCGTAGTCGGTGCAGCAAAATGCTTTCAGAATCGATATCATGGAGTTTAATCACAATGTATGATAAGATCTTTGTATAAAACATTTCCTGTAAGTATTTTAAGGCAAAGTTTTAAAAGTGGAGCAAACTTACTATAAACATTCCATTGGTTTCCATGGTGACTGCTCCAGTTTTAAAATATTACTCTTATATTGCTTTCTACTTAACTCCAATGGTTTTTGGTTCAGTGTTACTGTAGTAAGGAAAATAAAGTGAATGCTCAGTGTCTTTATTTAAGCAATGCTCTCTCTGGCCACATCGATAGCAGGCATATAATATCGACAAAATCAATAATAAAATCCCCTCTAGAATTACAAATCATCTTTCATTTTTCCAAAAAATTGTGCTACCGGCATAAATAGTAAATAAAAATGTACGTGCTAAACATCATTTGCAAGAAGTAGGCTCCTTTAAGAACACTTTACAGAGTATATTTAATGTGTGGTCTGCCAACGTATTAACTTAGTTTTAGTTTGTGAACATATTTGCGCAGTTATGTCATGTCCAATGCTTGTCTTATGACCATCTACTGTATGCTACACTGCATTATCAGCTGTTTAGTTTATGAAAGTATATAACGCTTATGTTGTTGGTTAGCCACATTTAGCACTGATTTAATTATAAGAGAAGCTTGGTCGGGATTTGGTTTTCATTTTGACAACATAAAGTTCTCAGGATTTTTATGTCTATTGTCTGTTTTTTAAATACTTGGACTGATTTTAGATTTTTGTAAAATGTGGATTTTATTGTCTTTTTGTCGACTAATTAAATAACAGCTAATACTTTGTGAACATCCGTGTCATTGTTTTTTGAGGACGAGAAAGGAAAGCATAGGAATATTTTTTTGTATCAAATTTTTAATTTGTTAGCAAAGCATTATAATAACAATCTCTGTTTACTGGATGATCACCATTAATTGCCATATTCACAGTATCAGCCGGTAAACCGTCAGGAAGTAGAAGACCACTCGTCATCATCTGACAGAGACAGCAGAATTCACTAACTTCCATCCACAGCAGCATACCCCAACTGCAACATCCACATCAGCATCCCACAACTGCTATATCGACAGCAGCATTCCCCAACTGCAATATTCATAGCAGCATTCCCCAACTGCAACATCCACAGCTGCATTCCCCAACTGCTATATCCACACCAGCATTCCCCAACTGCAATATTCATAGCAGCATTCCCCAACTGCAACACCCACAGCTGCATTCCCCAACTGCTATATTCACAGCAGCATTCCCCAACTGCAACATCCACATCAGCATCCCACAACCGCTATATCCACACCAGCATTCCCCAACTGCAATATTCACAGCAGCATTCTCCAACTGCAACATCCACATCAGCATCCCACAACTGCTATATCCACACCAGCATTCCCCAACTGCAATATTCATAGCAGCATTCCCCAACTGCAACATCCACATCAGCATCCCACAACTGCTATATCCACAGCAGCATTCCCCAACTGCAATATTCATAGCAGCATTCCCCAACTGCAACATCCACAGCTGCATTCCCCAACTACTATATCCACATCTGCATCTCACAACTGCTATAACCACAGCAGCATTCCCCAACTGCAATATTCAAAGCAGCATTCCCCAACTGCAACATCCACAGCTGCATTCCACAACTACTATATCCACATCTGCATCTCACAACTGCTATAACCACAGCAGCATTCCCCAACTGCAATATTCAAAGCAGCATTCCCCAACTGCAACATCCACAGCTGCATTCCTCAACTGCTATATTCACAGCAGCATTCCCCAACTGCAACATCCACAGCTGCATTCCACAACTGCTATATCCACATCAGCATTCCGCAATTGCAATATTCATAGCAGCATTCCCCAACTGCAACATCCACAGCTGCATTCCTCAACTGCTATATCCACAGCAGCATTTCCTAACTGCAATATTCACAGCAGCATTCCCCAACTGCAACATCCACAGCTGCATTCCCCAACTACTATATCCACACCAGCATTCCCCAACTGCAATATTCATAGCAGCATTCCCCAACTGCAACATCCACAGCTGCATCCCATAACTGCTATATCCACAGCTGCATTCCCCAACTGCAATATTCATAGCAGCATTCCCCCACTGCAACATCCACAGCTGCATTCCCCAACTACTATATCCACATCTGCATCCCATAACTGCTATATCCACAGATGCATTCCCCAACTGCAATATTCATAGCAGCATTCCCCAACTGCAACATCCACAGCTGCATTCCCCAACTACTATATCCACATCTGCATCCCCCAACTGCTATATCCACACCAGCATTCCCCAACTGCAACATTTATAGCAGCATTCCCCAACTGCAACATCCACAGCTGCATTCCCCAGCTACTATATCCACACCAGCATTCCCCAACTGCAACATCCAAAGTAAATGCTGCTCACCAAGATGCAGAAAATATATATAATAACAATATCTCAGGATGAGAAACTCTGCCCTGTAAGATGACACAAAATGATACATTCTGGTGTTTGTTTTCTGAAACTCATCTTAGTACGTGGTATTGTGATCAGTGTTCCGCTTAGTTGAGTTACTTATTTTTTAGAATAATGTGCCTTGTGATTGGAATTATACAACATTTAATAAGAATGTATCACACCCTACTTCCCACTACTGATACGATATTACTTCAAATGAAACAATTTAAATTTATTGTGGTTTAGAGATTAATGCTATATCCATGATTCATTTATATATTCATTTAAAAGCTAAATATGTTGTTTATTTGTAGGTTCCACCATTTTTTGTGTGTACCCTTTTTTAAAGTATATTGATATACTATTTGACTAATATTAACAACATTTTTCTAGAATACAATCTCAGAAATAAAAGAGCAGTAATTTGAATACTGGTCCTGAAACAGACTAGGGGACAGAACTGCCCACATTGGATCTTTGACAAACCATTGTAGATGCAGTTATGGTAGTTAAAGTACTCGGCACATTGAGTATAGAAGTACCACCTAGCCCTAACTGTCCCCAAATTCTAAACATGACGTCATTGTTCCTTGAAAAAAGTATACAACCCCCAATTCTAAAAATTCAGTAAAAATAAACACGGTCTCTGTTGAAAGAGAGGCAATCTTGTGAAATTGTTCTAAGGGTGCCATTTTCAAACTCATGCTGTAATCTGTTTAATGGTGACATTTAAAAAAATGTTGAGTGCATGGAAATTCGACTTGTGCTTTATGGGATTCCATTCTTACACCCTAAGCAATATGTGATGCTATTCTTTGCATTGTGATGGGAAATATAAATCTATGAAATATAAAATATATTTATAAAAATATATTAGAAATCCACTGTGGTGGCTAATTTTGTAGTTTTAACTTTATGTTGTTTCTTAGTGACAGAGATGAACACAAAAAAAAAAAAATAGCAATCAAATATAGGAATGCCGTACCTCCCAAAATTTTAAGTAGACAAACAGGACCAATTTAATTTTAGGGGTGTAAGTAAGGGTGTGGCCAGGGTCAGGCCTGTTTTGAGAAATTTTAGGTGACTTACTCATAACAATTTATGCAAATAAAACATAATTTAGATCGAGAATAATATATCGTATTTAAACAAGCTGATTTCCAAACAGTTTAAAGACACAATACTGGGAGAATGACTGTTATTCACTCAGATACATCACCAATATGAAAAAGAAGGACATTAGGATAAAAAAACCCGAGACAGATGGATTTTCACTCAAAATAGGGACTGATTCTCCTAAATAGGGACAGTTAGAAGGTCTAGAATTTTGCTGGCAAATCACCGAGGCAGTTGTGCTATGTACAAAGCGCTTATGAATGTTAAAACCTTATCTTAGCTCAATGCAGAACTGCTCATTTTACTGCTTTAGGTGTAAAGAAACCTCAGAAATAACTGAAAATTGTTTAAATATTTTGAATAACGTTATCTGGGTGCCTTTAAATCTACAGCAGCTCTCAAGGTGTGCCCTAATATTGCTTAATACAAAGCGAGGCCTTGCAGTTCATAAAGAAATTGTTAGGCCAAAGAGAAGCGTATCTTTACATTACTACATTTATGTGTGTTTCTAAACTGAGACATTAAGAGAAATGTAATCTCTCCTTTTAAACACCAGCAAGATTCATGCAAAACTAATATCACTGAGCAGCCTGTTGGCACAAGTCGGTGCCTTCTATTTACTCCTCTGTAGGTCTGGCTTTGAGCTCTAATTGATTTCAGAACGCGACGTCTGCAAGCCAAAATATTGTTCCCCAGCTTATTTTTATTATCGCAGCTTGGAGTTGTATATGAACCCCTGCTAATCGTTTCTCCACTCCCACACACAACACTTCCGTCAGAGCGCCCGTTGGGAATACATACTTGTCGTCTTAACTGGGAGAACATGTTTCTAATAAGAGCTGAAAGTGTTTTATTTGAAACCAGGACAAACAGTGTACCTCCAGGATGCATTAATGTTTATCTAATTAGAGGGGAAGATGTAAAGGGGAGAAATCTTTGGTTTAATAGCACAACACCCATCCTGTGCGTAGATTAGAGAATGAGTGGATGGGGTTTATGTGAGTGGGGAGAGTATGCAGATATATACAGGATTTTTCACTCTCTGCTTTCCTAAACTCTTCCTGTGGGGCACAAAGATACTTTCATGCTAACTAGATTCACTAGAAGGGATTAATTTGTTCATGTTTCAGCAAGACAAGCGAATTTTGAAAATACAGGCCCAAGTTAGCAGAATTGGAGAGAATCTCAATTAGTTGTTTTTTTTTAATCAAATATTTGCAATTTCCTTGACAACCTGTTTATTGTTTGAAAAAGAATCCCCAGAGAGTGGAACGTTCTACGTTAGTGTACAGAGTACACTGACCTGTTATTCCCTTGAAGTCTAATCATATATTATTATTATTTTATTATTTATGTAGTGCCACCAAATTCCGTAGCGCTGTACAATTTGATGCCGAGTGAGTTGTGTAACTCTTGGTTTTAATTGGTTAAATGTGGCTCAGGTCTATGGTGACCGTTTAGCCTACATGATCATGTAAGACGAGTACAATGTCTTGCCTTATGAGCTGTTCATAGCATTCTTTATATATGCTAGCTAAAATAATAAATATGATGCAAATGTGCTAGTGACACTTTTAGGATGCAATAGCGTGGCCATCTTTACTAAAAGGACAAGACAAGAATAATATAGACATTTCAGCCAGTATTCCCTTTTTAAGTGTTCAATGTAAAAAGAGAAAGGCATTGTGCTGTAGATGCAGGAAGATGGTTGCCCCATAGCCATAGTAGGCATTCTGACATCTGCATGTGGCTAGGAGAATCTGGCAGCCCTGCTCTAAGAGGCATCCTGCAACACTCTGAGTCTCAACCCTTCCCCCCACTGCAGCAGTGTCACAGAGCTTACAGTCACCCGGGCTGGACGAGAAGCTTAAGGCTGTTTTGGAATGTAACTCTTATCATTCTCAGCTGGATAAAGTATCCTATAATAAATAGATCTGGCGGAGGATCTTTGGTCAGTTTTGACATTTATTTTCCTTATCAGATACGGTATATTAATCCCCATTTTACAGTAAACATAAATATACCACCAAAAAACGATGTTCACAGATTTCATTTGTAGGTGCACAAGGTCTGATGGAGAAGTAGGCTATGTGCTGGTATCGAAGTGTTGGAGGTTATTTTGTGGGTTACCTCCTGTCCACAAGGTCCTAGCAGGGTCATGCCATTCTACAGCATTAGTCTTTCTGGGTTATTCATTCATGTGTGAATTGTTGGGAATTCAAAGTAAATTTTAAGAAAGCCGAACTGATAAAAAAGCTGATTTGGGGAACGTTTTTCATTTTAGCTCTAGTGGGCTAAAATCAGAAATTATCTTTGAATACACGTTGAATTCTCACCAATTCTCATAATTTGTGTATAACCCTTTCTATGTACAAGTACAAAGTTAGTAATAATATCACATGTGTTACTTTTAATCTGAAATATCAGACTTGGTCTTGAAAGGATAAATTGTATTTCAATTTCAGCTAAAAATAAAATTTGGTTGTTAATTGTTATATAGTTGTTTCCAAAAACATTTCTCCAATACGTCTGTAGACACAACCTGCCTGCACAATTTATTTTCTTAAATTCAACTCTCATTAGTGTTTATTAAATAACCCCCTGTGATAGCTCTCTATTAAAGAACAAAAAGGATCGTCAATCAATTTGCACAGTTCTTAATATATTAAAACACTTTCACATGATACCATGTTACATGATATAAAGCATGTGATATAAAACTGATTGCTAAAGAAAAATGTGTAAAGATATCAGAATTTGCATGCAAGGGGTTTCTTTTTATGTTTAAAGAGAATCTTGAATACATTTTCATACAATGTATATCTGATTCATACAGACATTCTCCTAGCTTAGTGCGTTTATCAGTGTAAAAGTTGTACGTAGATTATATACAATTGTGTAACCCATGTATCTGAGTTGCAATTCTTATCTCCCCAGCCCTCATCAGACCCATCTGTACTTGCAATTTTGATGATGGTAGGGATTTGAATATAAAGAGCAATTCTGGGCTGAGGATTGCATCATTTTAACAACTTTGGAACACAATGGCTCTCAACTACGTAACCTCAATCATGGCTAAATTTTACACCCAATCTGTGGACTCTGTGGTAAACCGTTTATGGCCTTTATCTCTCAGATGATTGACTGTGCACTCAGCTGACCAGGTTTTACCAACCATCCCCATCATTTTCAAACATCCGTAAAAAACCCCCAAGCATTGCACCTGCTGCACTTAATACTTACATATAAAAGATATTTATATCCATTTAAAAACCCTAATGTATTTTTATATATAAACAGTGCAGTTTAGTTGCTTGCTCATATGTATGTAACCCGTCACAGGTGTAGTGGTGCAAGACTGATGCATATACATTTTTGGAAAAATATAATATGAGCTAGTGACTCATACAAAGTACAGATAATTTTTTTTGGGGGGGGCGGGGAGGGGAATATACTTTAAATATAATCTGTACAGAAAAACATCGAATGTGGTGGGGTTCCTCATGGATTAGTAAATCTTGTCATAACTTGGATTAAGAGAGTTTAACTTCGCTTAGTTCAAGGCATTAAATCAGCTGAGGAATTAACAAGAGAATGGTAAATTTAAGCGTAAAATCTTTAAATTGGAAAATAAGTTCCGG